TCAGTTGCTCATTAAGGTTAAGTTAGTAGCTGCTAAAAAGATGCCTTTTATATCTTAGAAATGACTTCTCATAATGATATGTATGTGATATGTATATGTAGATACACATAATTAAATACGTACATAATAGAGATGCTGACTTTTATGCACATATTGCCTATTTTGCAATAATATTATTCCCACTGCTGCCCTTTAGTCTTGACTATGGATGGCATTTTCTAACCAGACCTCACAGTAGAATTATCTCTTCAATCTGTTTAAAGCACCGAGGGGGCTCATATGTGCAATATCACTTTAAATATTATGTCCAGTCAGACCACAAAAGAAAAGATATAACTGTACAGAATGTAGTTAAGCAAGAAATCATGATACTTATCTTTCATACTATGCTTGGGTTCTTTTAAATCTAACTGTTGCCAACTAAAAAAATCAATAAAGTTACATGCATAGGACTGGCGGGGATATACACACATTCACACACACACACACAACATACAGTAGGTCCTCTCACTTAATGTCGTTGATATGTTTTGTGACTTTAATTGAAACATCATACTAAACCAACTGTACTGTAGTTTAATGGATATAAACAAGAGTTAAGTCCCTAGGGCATCTCCTCAATGTTATAAAGAAAGGACTTTGAAGGAAATGACATTATTTGAGGATCTGGTGTGTGTGTGTGTAAATTCTAAAAAGCTGGGAAAAATATCCTAATGTCTGCCTTTCACATTTATGCAATGTAAAAATGAACTCCAAAAGAGGGCTAGCCAAACTTATCTCATTAAACCCAAGTTGACTGTATGAAACTGAGACATAAAAGTCAAAATTATAAATATGAGAAATTAAAATTTGCCAAGATTGTGAAACAAAGAAGAACCAACTCCACTTACTCTAGAAAGAACATCTTAGAAGTTTCTGTCAACAACTTAGAAATCTGCTCTGTGCCTATAACCAACCTGCAAGTCAATTAACAGTGACTACTCTCTACTCATTTTACCCAATTACTACCCACTCACTGCTTTTGAAAGCCTGTCCTGAAATAACCTAACTTCTAATGCTAACCCTCTTCCTATCCCTATGAAGCTTCCTCTATAACTTCCCTTTTAAAGATGTAGGAGGCATTTTAAAAATAATCTCCCCTGCTGTAAAGATTATTAATAAACACAGCTTTTCTGTCTGACACAAGCTTTCCTGGTCATTTTTATGGAGACCATAACAACTGAGGTCTTGGAGGTTACATGTAAGCCTACATTGATTTATCCCATTTCAATACACCAGTCTTATTTAATATGATTTTGTCTATCCTGGAATGAAGACAACACCTGTCTTCCAAGTTTAAAATGCTGGAGCTAGCTATTAATTCCAGATAATTGAAATACACACAATCTGCCCATGATCACAGAGTTCTTAAAAGAAAAAGGGCCACCACTGAAAATGTCAGCAATGCAAGCCTGTGTTAGTACCAAATCACTTGGGCCTGTGGCTGCCTATGGACAACAAACATTAATCTTTACTAGAGAACTTGGTACATTCCTTTTCCTGTTAACATCCTGTAGCCACAACGTGCCATTGGTATGGAACATGTATGGGCAGCGTCATGTAGTTGTACTGCTCCTGGAAGGCCAGCTCACATCTAGAACTCTCATGTTCTATAGAGTCCCAATGGTAAACTTTTACATTTTAGGGACTTTATGTTGTGGAGTTTTGTAGTCCCCGTGTCTACCTTAGTGTCTGGAACACAGTATGTGCTTTATAAACATGCATTACATGTATGAAAACCCAGTAAAATCAGGGGAGGAATTCACTTGGCAACTGGGGAAGAATTTATGTGGTTCTCAAATACTTCGAAGTTGAGGAAGCACTGAAGTGTAAAAATCAATCTGGGTTTTTAGGAGCTCTCTATGTATAGAGGGTTTTGTTCTTCCCTTCAAGATTCCCAAAGCTTGGAAGAGCCTCTGCCTCATGAAACTACATGTAAGGCCCTAGTCAGACAGGCGACAACTTGCTGATGAGGCCACAGAGACCACACCACCAAATATGTAATACTCCATGGTACAAAGACTACTATCACTACACATCTGTTTTAGTTCACCAATTCAGGCCTTGGGCCCAAATATATTAAACAAATCATCACTAACATAACATTTCCATAATTATGGGGACAAGTACTTAATTGCAGTAGCCATATTTCCTTAATAGTTGTAAGGCATCTAATTTTTCTTAGTATTATTCTATGCTGTCTTAAGTGAAAAAGAAGTTTGTTTTCTTAAAGATAAGTTGCTTTAAGCTATAAAATTCTCATTTTTGGGTATTGTTTTATTACTTTAGGACAGAGTCATGCTGAGATACTAGGAATTCAAAATCTAGAGGTAAAAAGAGTCGTAAGAGATCATCCACTTCCATCCTAGGCTGTGGTTATTTGGTTCTTACTGATGTAACTGGACAGAGGCTTCACATTCTCCCTGACAGCCCATTTCTAGTGTTTCATCATCGTTGCTGCGCCTAATCAAAGTTTCCCCTGTTTCAAATTAAGTCAATTTCCTCTTGTTTTGCTCTTGAAAAAGATTCAGGACAAGCAAATAGACCCTGAGTCATGATCAGTAATAGAGTCTGGGCTCAAAGAACCAAAGACTGGCAGCTATGTCCCAAGTGGCTTGAGAAGCTGTCTTTTTACTGATGCATTAAAGTGCCCACTCCTCAAATTTCTCCCAAATACAGAGGTCCAGTGAGCTAGGAGTGTAACTGTGGTCAGAGGTTAGCTGATAAATTGAATTCAAACCCAAATAAGTTACCACAGTTCAGAACACGAGTAACTGAACAGAGGAGGCACTTCTGTACTGGAAAAGGCTGCTCCCTCTTTAAGGCACTCTCCTAACCGGGTCTTTTAGCTAATTGCCCTATTCAATTAATTGTTCTGATATGAACTTTTAAAATGCAAATTCAGCCATTTGCAGGATAACCTTAAACTATAAATAGTAATATGTCCGACTAAAATATATACTCCAAATAACTTCCCACACTTAAAATCCAAACAGTGAACAGATTATCTTCCCATACCATTTTAAAAATTAAAATGAACAGAAAATAGCCTAATTATCTGTACTAAAAAAAGTGAAATGTTGATCCAGAGATTTAATCTACATATAAACTTAACTAGGTCTGAGTTTTGGTCTAGTCTGAAAACAGCATATTGAGTGACTATCATATGGTAGATGCTTCATATACATCTTCTCCATTCCTTACAGTAATTCTCTAATCCTCAGGGGTCACTGTAAACGCAATCTTCACAAAGTTAAATAAATTGCCTGAGATTATTCAGCAGGTGGGAGCACTTGAGTCAGTTGTATTCTAGATGCAATGTCAACAAGACGAAGCTGCCACTTCACAGAGGCCAAAAGTTAAAATCAGAACCCCAACCCAACTGAGAAGAGGAGAAAAATGTTTTGGAAAGAAGCTGCTCCCACTGGTGCTGTTCCCAACTATCAAGCTAAAACTGAACCAAGGCCTTGAATCTTTTTAGGTGTATAACAGACAAAGGTAAAGAAACATCCTTCCAGCAGAACATGGCAGTTTCCAGAGCTGGTGCCCTTCTACGAGCTGCACTGGATAACCTCTCTTCTAAAAGATTCAGCTATGAACATGACTCAGTTGACTGGCACAGCAGCACTTCAAATCACATGAATATGAACCTTCGGATTACTTGTTCACAATTTTTAAAAACTGATTCAAGTGATCAGACAGCATCACAGGGAACCTTATATAGTAGCTGATCTATCACCATTTCAATTTGCCCATACTTCCTCTGAGGAAGGACTGGTCACTATGATGCGCATTGACCACCAGGGGGCAGACACTCAACGCGGGAGCTGCCCCCTGGTGGTTAGTGTGCTCCCACAGGGGGAGTGCTGCTCAGGTGGTGGGAGCTTCTCCAGCCTCTGTGGCAGCGCTAAGGATGTCCCACCGCTGTCAGTCAGACATGCCCCGAGGGCTCTGGAACTGCAAGAGGCGCAGGCCAGACTGAGGGACCCATTTGAATTTCATGCACCAGGCCTCTAGTATATAATAGTGACATCAGTGATCTAGTAGAAAAAAGTACGAGTCATGAAATTGTTCTCTAGGAGTAATAAACAGTCTCTGTTCATAAATCCTGTGACCAGTGGCCCACATGTATGAAACATCCTGATAAAACACGGCTTTAACATTAAAGTTTCCCTATTGTAATTTAGAGAGCAAAGCTAAAATTTTAATGTACTCATTTAGTTTCAAACCAATAATGATATAATTAGTCAAATCCAAAGAGCAGATGATATAAAATAAGATGAATTTCTGAAATAAAATATGGGAAACTGACAAAAAGTATCTGCTGGTGGTTGTCCAATATCATAATGAGATCACTAGCAGAAATGTCAACTCAGAAAATTTGCAATAAAATTATTAAAGAACTTTGAATAATATTCTGATCCTTTTAAAATATTTAAGTTTAACTCTGAAAACTACTGAATAGTCTATATTAAAGTATCTTTTTACAGGGTGAGCCAAAATAAAAGTATAAATACAGTTCAAAGAAGGAAGCAAGCAGTTTGTGTGTAGCACTATCTGTTATATGTGAAAAAAATATTTAAAGTAATCTGGTATCTGGCACATCCCATGCACCAAAAGGTTGCCAGTTCAATTCCTAGTCAGAGCACATGGCCAGGTTGCTGGTTTGGTCCCCAGTGGGGTGAGTGCAGGAGGCAACTGATTGCCGATTGATGTTTTCCTCTCTCCCTTCCTCCCTCCTTTTCTCTCTAAAATAAATAAAAACATATTTTAAAAAAAGTTAAGAGCCAAAAGTCTTAAAAATGTTTTAAAAATGAATTTTTTATCACTGTATTTTCTGAGATTTACCGAAAGACAAATTTGTCTTTATATTGAATGCAATGTTCTAAATAGGTGTACAATGTCTTTTTTCTCCCCAAATGAAGACTATTATAATTTGTGTAGAAAGATAAATTACTTACCGCTATAATATCTAATGTATTATCACAGACCTTTCGGATTTCATTATTTTTATCATGCATCAGATCTATAAGATATGCTGGAGCCTCTGAATAAAGTGGTTAAAGATACAAATGACATCTGAGACTGAGGCTATTCAACCCTATTAGAAAATCTCCCATTTCACAAAATTCAAATGATAACTTGAAATTTAACTGCAAATTTTAAAATAAAATCATTAATAAAAGATGGCCAGAAACATTTCATATTTCATTTGTTTTAAAAAAAAAAGGATGAGAAACAAAAAAACCCAACTAGATAAAAATGGGTAAGAAAAACAGCCAGTAAATTTTAGAAAATACAAGGCCATATTTTTGAAAACATGAAAATAGTTAAAAAGTTAGCTCTATAGCTGTGTAGCCATAAAAGCTTTCTTGATCTATCTGGCCCTGCTAAAAGTCCTGGGAGTGAATTTCACAGTAAAAGAGCAACAGAAAAGAATCAGTCAAATTCCATATATGGTTATTATAAGAAAAAGAAAACAAAACATTTTTACATAAAAAATAAAAGCTGCAATCCAATATCCTCAAAAGAGATAAAATAATGAGAAAATAATAGTATATGAAAGAATATATGTCAAAATTAGAAAACTTTGAAATAATTCAGGAAATAAATAAAAATCATTTCAGGTATAAAAAAACTAAATTTATAACAGCACAAGAGTAAATAAAAATAATAGATAAAAAATTAGGAGAAATAGAAGGTAAAAAGAAAGAAAAAATTTTAAATTAAAGAATAAATGAAAGAGAAAAATTAGAAACAGATATTAAAGGTAGGCAAAGACGATCCAACACAACAAATCTCAAGAAGACAGCCAAAGCAATAGGACAGGACAAATAATAAAAACTATAATTCAAGAAAACTTTCCTGAAATAAAAAAAATAAGACAAAACGACATACTAAAAGAACACATTTGCAGAGTTGGAAAAATCAAGCAGGGATGATGAATACCAAGTCAAATTCTAATACAACTACTTGGCTGTAAAGAATGAGAAAACATTCCTTTGGTCTTCCTAGGAAAAAGACTGACTCACTTAGAATGGAAACAAAAGTAAGTTGTCATCAGACTTTATGACAGATACCAATAATTAGTAGACTACAGATTTCTCATTGGCAGCAATTCAGGCCAGACGACAGTGGAAAAATACCTTCCAAGTGCTGAGGGAAATAACTGGCAAGCTAGAAGTTCATATTCTGCTAAATTATTATTAAAGAGGGAAAACTAATTATTACTCCTAATGGGAAGAAGGGAGGCACAAGGCTTAACTCAGAAGATGGCTTATAACCTTATTAATGTTTGCTAATGTCAGGTAAAAAAAAGGAGAGGAATATTTTTGAGGTTGACACGGCACCTGAAGAAGCAGTAAGTTTTGACAAGGTGGGTCATGTTTGATAAATGATGAGAAATTTGGTGTGCTAAGAGAAAACTATGTATAGTAAGGTTAAACAGGGAACTTTGGAAAATTTGGGTAAGGTCAGGTTATAAAGAGCTATGTATGCTAAGCCAAAGAATTTAGATTTTTCACATGGGTAATGAAGAATTTTATGCAGTGGATTTCTAAAGAAGATATTTTAATTTTTACTTTTGGTCCACAAAAGCAGACCACCACAATAAAAAAAAAGACAAAAATTCAGCTTAGATACTACTTCCATTTTTCCATTGCCATCTTTTCATGACATCCTCAGATTTGGTTATATATCTTCTCCTATATACTGGGCACATTTCTTTTAAAATTAAAGAATAAATGAAAAGAGAGAACAATTAGAAACAGATATTAAAGGTGGGCAAAGATGATCCAACACAACAAATCTCAAGAAGACAGCCAAAGCAATAGGACAGGACAAATAATAAAAACTATAATTCAAGAAAATTGGATTATAATTTTATATTTCTTATTTAATTGTCTAACTCTCCAATAGTCTATAAAGTCCTTGAGTACATTCAACGCTTAAAACATTGTTATATGGTTAGCACTAGATATATATTTGTATAATAAATGATTAGTTGTGTATGGTAAAAGAGACAGCAGACACAAAATTTTCAGCTATGGGACTAGGAGGATGATACTATTACCCACTGTGAATACAGAGGGTAGGCTGTTTTTCAGGTGAAGATGTTGGCGATATCTGGAATCCTTTTAGATGCAATAATGTTAAACTTCCACTTACTGAGTAAATCTCTGTGCTGGAAACTGTTATAGCACATTAAATTCATTAGTACTAATAACAATTCTATAATGAAGAAGGTCTTCTTTCTATCCTATATAATAAAAGGCTAATATGCAAACTGACCCCTTGATCGGAAGTTTGACTGGGAGTTTGATCAGTGGGAGGGGCTGGCCAGCCAACTGCTGTGGCCCTTCCCCCCAGCCAGCCCCGTCCCCATCCCCGATTGGCTCCCTCACCCCAATCGAGGGCTGGCCAACCACTTATGGCCCCTCCCCACCAGCCGGCCTGGCCCAATCGGCCCTGATCAGGGCGGGCCGGCACGACCCCGCCTGTGCACAAATTCATGCACCAGGCCTCTAGTTTATTATGGCCATTTTATAGATGCAAGATTGTATGTTCAAGCAGGTTAAGTAGTGTATCCAAGATCCTGCAGCTATTAAGTAGTAAAAGGTAATTAAAAATTACCTTTAGGATTATGTGATTATAACGATTCTTAAGCTACACCATACTATGCTTCCATGAAATATAGCTTGCCTTATAAATGTATTTCAGAGCTTGACAATATTATGGCCCTTTTATAGATGCAAGATTGTATGTTCAAGCAGGTTAAGTAGTGTATCCAAGATCCTGCAGCTATTAAGTAGTAAAAGGTAATTAAAAATTACCTTTAGGATTATGTGATTATAACGATTCTTAAGCTACACCATACTATGCTTCCATGAAATATAGCTTGCCTTATAAATGTATTTCAGAGCTTGATATTTTCTACATTATTTGAATATTTGCAAGAAAAAAAATACCTAAAGATGCATCTCTTAATATATATATAATGTCATTATTTATTGTAAACATTGAAAGGATACGTGTTTCTTTAATTATGACATCTCTCGTGGCTTGGTGGAAAACCATCTGATAGAAGACATAAATTATCTGGCACACAAATTCATCATCTTCTTGTTGAGCTGAAGGAAACAGAAAACTTTCAATAAAAGAATATTATGTTTATATACAAATTAAGAAACACTGAATAAAAAACCTAAAAGTGACAAGGAGACTAATAAAAGACAACTAAGTTTAAATTACTTATAATATATGGGTGGCACATGTTACTTATGTCTTAGGTGTTTTTCTAAATTACATGATGATAACAGTAAGGAATTTTTTAATAATACGTTTTCAGAAGTTTTAGTAAATTTGGTTGTAAACTAAATAGGCTAAAATTACTTTGGAATATAAAGATAAAAAATAAGATTTTGAAAAAGAGAAATTATATCATATCTGAGTTTAAACCAGACTACATGAGATTACTTATCTCAAAAGCCCAGGTTGGACGAACTGAGGAACAAGATTGTTTTAAGAGAATAGGAACAGTGCTTCTTGATAATTTATACTGTCTTTTGCCACA